TGCTGGCATTCCTTGGTTCACAGCTATATGTCTAGTCTGCCTCTGTCATCACATATTGTTTTTCCTACTGTGTCTGTCTTTTCCTCTTTTTAGGACACCAGCGATACTGGACTAGGGTCCACCCTAACCGAGTATGAACTCATCTTTACTTTACATTTGTAAAGACTCTGTTTCTAAATAGGGTCCCTTTAATAGGTATTGGGGGGTTAGGTTTCAACATATCTTTTTGAGGAACACAATTCAACCCAAAACAATGCCTGGCCAAAGCAGTCTGAAAGCAAATGCTTCTTTGACTCTCTCTGAGACCCAACTAGTTGAGCTGAAGTTTTGGAACTCAAAGGCCAGGCTTCCAGTTGTGTCAGGCGTGGCCTAGGCTCAGCCTCCAGTGAATTTAGCCCAGGGAACTGGAGTAGAGCAGGATAGTAGCACCTGTTTGGCCTGAGCCTTGGTGCTCAGTTCCATTTAAAAATTTCAGTGTAGGCATGGAGGAGTGAGTAAGGACAGGAGAGGATGTCCTGGCCTCTAGGGTTTGGGTTAATTTTCAAGAGGAATCACGGAAGAGCTGGAATAGTGCTCTCTTCTAACATTAGCACAGCTGATAATTGTGCCCTAGTTCATTTTCTTCCTAGCCTAGTGCACTGTCTGTCTACCCAATGAGTGCTTCATCTCCCAGGGGGCTGCGCTCTACAGCAGATCCAGAAATGGTTTCTTCAAAGGCAGTTAGCAGTGCAGACCAGTTCTGAGGCAGGCCTCGTCTTAGAAACTAATACTTATAGGATAAGAGCAATCAGTTTTTACTCACAGAAACTGTGTATAAGGAAAACAATATAGGGCATAGATTTATATTTAGAAGGAAAAAGCTTCAGCCAAGTAAAGGTATATAAAGAGTAAGGAGAATAGATATTTTTCCTTTATGATAAGGTAAAATTTACAGATAAGTATGGGAGAGTTATAGAAGTTTGAATTAGTGCTAGACTTTACTTAATGAAAAAGATCTTTAGTTCATTAAAGAAAAAATTATTAGGGTACTAACTATAAATATGGTTCTTTGGTTTAGGTCTCAAAAACATCGAGGCCAACTCTATAGAAGCAAAATAACAAAGATACTGTTGTCACTCACTGGGGACTCAGTCTCTACAGAGGTGTAGCATTGAAAAAAATGATTATTACATCACTTTCAGCTGAAAGTTATACAGAAGCTTCTTGCAAAATGTAGCAGCCCTTCTCTGACTGGGAAACATTGTGAGAACATTTTAAATTTACTTTTCTGCTTGGTGCAGAAAAATAAAGGAAAAACAGAAAGAAGGATTGCTGGGAATTTGATTCTAACATTATTAAGTTTAATAATGAAATGATAAATGTGTATTAGGAAAAACTTAAGGAACAAATAAACTACCTTTTAAGTGTAAAGAAAGCAAGTAGGCAAAATGAAATGAAAATGGTTATAAATATTCAAAAGTGATCAGTATTACTAATAATCAAAGAAATAAAGCTTAACAGCAGAATTTTTTTGCCTGTCATATTAGCAAAGATTTGAGTTGTTAAATTAACATTAAATTTTTAGATGCTTTAACACTTAAAATATTTTTAACTTTTCAATTTTATGATGATTGTACAATTTTTATTGATTCAGTCTGAACTTTATAGATTGACAAGGTCTAAAACATAATCTAAAGATAAGCTAACTAGGTCTTCAGAATATGTATCTGATTGACAGGTAGAACATTTTGTATAATCAACGAAGTAGTGACATTAGGAAGAAGCAAAGCGTATTTCACAGACCAGTTAGCAAACCAGGTCAAGGGGTAAGGTTTAATTCTGATTATTAGTAATTTGCTATGTATCTTAGTCTCATTGCATCAGTTTCTTGTCAGAGGCAATGTTCTGTTTTTTAGACCAAAAATCTTGATTCCTATTTCTCTCACTTCTGTCAGAAAATTTTGTTCAGAATATATCTTTAACCTGACCACTTTTTACTGCTTACCACCAATCCATGTCATCATTTTATCTTGCCTGGATTGGTGTAAATTTCCTCTTTGCTTCTAACCGTGTCCTTTTTTGATACAACAGCTAGAGTGATAAACCTGCTCACTTTTATGCTGAAAATAGTCCAGAACAGTTTCCTTAGAAAGAAGTGTCTTCTCCTTGAATAGAGCATATTAGAATATCAAGAATGGGAATGTACAAGAAAGGGAGGGTCAAGATGACTTGCCCTCTCACTCAGAGTAAACACCAAACTCCGTTTCTCCCGGTCTCTTCTCTCATCCCCATCTCCTTCCCCCATCTCCTCTCTTACCATTCTCTCCTTTGTTATACCTAGTTCCAGTTACACTCACTTTTTTTACTATTCCTTTGAAGAGCCCCAGAGGCTTCTTACCCTTGCCTCAGCCTATACTGCACTTCATCCAGATAGCCATATGCTTTAGTCCTTCCTTTAGGCCTCTGAAATGCCTCCCTGGTATAAAATAACTCCCCCTTCTCCTTATGCTCTATCCCCTTAGCTGGGTTTCTTCTTCAGAGCACTTATTTACTGTCTGCTTTGCTCCAACACTGTTAGGATTTGGTTTCTTTCCTTCCTGAGTGCCTACCCAGCTTTTTGGCATTTGTAACTACTTGTTGAGCGACTGCCTGGGCTTCTAGTTCTTTCGGTAGTGACTTCTTCCTCTGCTTAGAGAAATATGCAGACCACTGTTATTTTTTGGCTACAGGAAAAGTAAGGCTGCCTTCCCTGTACCAAATGTTTCTCTAAAGGTAATCTGGGGACATCTACTTTCTCACTGCTCAGATATTTATATTCTATTATTCTTTACCAGTCTGGAATCTGTTTTATAAGTAATGTTTCTGTGTTTGGGACCAGTGTTTTTCTTTTCCCTGCATTTGGTATTATTTTATGTAAATATTTTAGTAACATTTTGGTATTTATTCCTTCATTTAGTTAGCAAGTTGTTATTGTAGCAGATACTAGGGGCCAGGCTGGGTTGCAGACTGGATGTTAGGGTTTAAAGAGATGGATAGCCTGCCTTTTCTTTGAGAAGCTCAAGAGTTCATTGTGTGCTCAGAAATGCCAGACATTGAAATAGGCAATCCTATAAGAGGAATGTAGGAAGGAAGGTAAAAATACACAGGTGGATCATACAAGCCTGCTCCAGAGGGTTGGGAACCTCGACAGTGGGCAGGAGGGAATTTGCCAGGTAAGGAAACAGGTAAAGGATGCTTCAATAGGAGGAATTAGAGCAAAGGCATAGAGAGCTGTACTTGTTCAGAGAAGCACAAATCCATTAGTACTGCTGAAGCACAAGGTAAATGCAGGCTGTGGTGCAAGGCCATGATAGTTATGCAAGGGTCTGATCTGGACACCTCTAAAAGGTCATGTATAATCTGTAGAGAGGTGAGACTTCCATCCTGCAGCCCATGAGTTTGGGCATGTGTACCTGTGTAAGTGGGTGGGGAAGTGGCCTGGAAGGTTTTATCTTTTGCATGCTCTCTCCCATTGGCAGGGAGAACACAGGATATTTTCTGCTGTGTATTAATATATTTCCTTTAGATTAGAAATTCTGGCCCTGGCTGGCGTAGCTCAGTGGATGAGCTCAGTGGATTGAGCGCGGGCTGCGAACCAAAGTGTCCCAGGTTTGATTCCCAGCCAGGGTACATGCCTGGGTTGCAGGCCATAACCCCCAGCAACCGCACATTGATGTTTCTCTCTCTCTCTCTCTCTCTCTCTCTGTCTCCTTCCCTTCCCTCTCTAAATATAGATAAATAAAATCTGAAAAGGCGCCAGAATTTAATTTTGATGTAGGCCATTTTCCTCACATGTACTTGGTGAGACAGATGCTTTTTAAACCTTAAATGAATGGTGACTACAACTTTATTTGTAACCCTGATCTGTTTTAACGTACTATTATCCCATTGCATGTTTTCCCTTTATCTACTCCATCCCTCATTTCTCAATGTCTTTTTTGCCGGGCAAATTAAATTTATTTAAAAAAAAACGATGAAAAGAAAGCTTTGTTTTGAGAGGATTTTTTGTTGGAACTGTTGGATGCCAGACATATTACTGCATTTGAAAGTGGGATGGGTGGGACTCCTTCATGTGGCAGGCACACCAGTGCTTCTTATTCACCTTTGAGTTCCCTGTGCCTGGTGTTCAATAAATGTTTGTTGAGGAATCACCTATTTATTGCTGGAAAGATTAAGTATGTGTTTTTGTAATGTAACCTACTGCCTACTTTCCTACTTTGATCCCCTAGAATCTTTTCTTTCTAAGCTCCAGACAAACTAATATGCCTTCTCCATACCCTCAATAGTTCCAAATATTTCTGCTGCTCGGACTGTTCTTACTGTCATCTGGCAAACTCCTGTGCCTTCTTATAAGTCTTATTTCTATCCGTTTTTTAGTAACCCGAGTGGCATTAGTTATTCCTTCCTGTGCACAGTTTTGCATTGCAGTTTGTTTGATCTCTAGTCAGTGAGCTTGTATGGTGAAGATAAACCTTACCTCTCTTTCTGTGTCTCCAGTACTTTAGCCTGGTTACTGGCTATTGTAGGAAACAATGATGGCAAGTGGAAGCACACCTGAGTAAACTGTGCTGGGGATGTTGAACATTGTCCATCTTCTACTTAACCTAGACTGGGCCTTTATACAAGTGTGTGTATGAGAGAATCTCTTTCAGAACTGGTACATAGGAACTACACTTTTACTCACTTGCAAAGTGAGAAAATTCATTCTTACTAGGAAGGATTTTGAGGTGGCCAATGATAATAATTAGGTCAGTGATTCAATGCCAAGAATAAGAGCTTGAGAGGAAGAATGACTAGAGGCAGTATCCACCCCCCACTCCAGCAGTCCAGAAAGAGATGAGGGATAATAGGATGGTAGAAGGGAATAGTAAGTAAATAAAAGACATGATGCTGGAGGAGCTTACATATCATTTGGGAGAAATGATCACTAGCCATAACCCTGTAATAATTCATTGCTGATGACCATGTCTTCCTCTCTGCAGAGACCACCCCAGCCACCATGGAGGTGGCAGAGGCAGAAAGTCGTCTGAATCCCAGCTGTAAGATCATGACCTTCAGACCTTCCATGGAGGAATTCCGGGAGTTCAACAAGTACCTCGCATACATGGAGTCTAAAGGAGCCCACCGTGCTGGTCTTGCAAAGGTGATTCTCCTCAGATCCTTTAAACCAGAATGATCACTTGGCCTTTCAATTATGCTCTTAATCTTCATGTTGTGGGAAATTGTTTCTTCCAAAGGAAGGTATTTGTAAAGTCTTTGTTCTTATTAATCCATATGGAGGGATCATTTGATTTCTTCAAAGAATACCTGTCTTTTTTTTTTTAAAACAAAAACAGTTCATAGAAACCAAAAGGATTGATACATGAGTTTTAGAGGAGTGAGGGTATTCATAGCTTTTGTCAGTTTCCCATAGAGGACAGTTATTAACCTGAACCTTAACTACTACTCCCCTCCCTCCTCCCTCCCATTCTTCCTTCTCTCTCTCTTCTCTTTTTTCATTCTATATTTTTCTTTCTAAAAAATTTTTTTACCAGATTGTTTGAGATATAATTCCCACACCATACAATTCCCCCACTTAAAGTATGCAATTCAGTGGTATTTTTGTATATTCACAGAACATCGTCAGTTCATCTCTCATACCATGAGAGATATCGTACCAATGGTATGAAATCTCTCATATAATTCCAAAACTCTTCTTCACCCCCAGAAGAAGCTATATCCATTAGCAGTCACTCTATATTCCCTGCTATGCATCCAGCCCCGGGCAACAATCTTACTCTCTTTCTCTTAAAGATTTGCCTATTTTATTTTGTTTTTAGTTATCTGCTCACCAAGGGTGGAGTGTGCATACTAGGTACCAGGCACTGTGGCACACATGGGAGGAGGTGGGGGATGGAGCAGCACAAATTCCTGCCTTTATGGAACTTATATTCAAGTGGTAGCATCTTAGGGTAGTGAGATAAGGACATTCAAGCAGGGACCCAAACGGTATAAAGAAATCAACCTTCCAAGATGTGGGGAAAGAAAGTACAGCAAGTCCAGAGACCTGGAGGCTGATTTGAGCTTCATGTATGGGAGGAATAGGAAGGGGATCTGTGGAGCTGGGGCTCAGTGGGCAAGGGAAGTGGGTAGTAAGTAAGGTGAGAGCCCTGGAAGGGGCCAAATGGTATTGGGCTTGTGTAGCTATAGGAAGTACAGTGGGAAGCATCAGAATCTTAAAGCAGAGGAGAGGAGGACATGGTGACTGTTAGTTTGCAGCAGCAGGGAGTCCTCCCAGGGATAACTGTGATATGCTCAGAGTCACAGGAGTGGTTACAAAGGCCCTGAGGACTGCATTGCAGGTTTGCACCTATAGACCCAAAATTACAGCTTTGAAAGAGAGATTGTCTCCTTTGACTTCAACTTGAGATGGATTGTGTGTCCCCTCCATACTGGAAATCTATTTCTTTTCTTTTCTTTTTTTTTTTTTTAAGATTTATTTATTTATTTTTAGAGAGGGATGGGAGGAAGAAAGAAAGAGAGAGGGAAACATGAATGTGTAGTTGCTGGGGGCCGTGGCCTGCAACCCTGGCATGTACCCTGGCTGGGAATCGAACCTGCGATACTTTGGTTCGCAGCCCGCGCTCAATCCACTGAGCTACGCCGACCAGGGCTGGAAATCTATTTCAATTGAAAAGTTTCCCTTAGAAGAATTTATTTTATAGCATTTACATCATTTCATTATTGTGCTAAATGTTAAATTCATAATCTGGGTTTCTGTAAATTTTTTGGCATCATTACATAAGTTTCTGAGCTCTCACAGAGCCCACTCACCTGTGGCTGGGTCTCAAGTTCTTCTTGGAATCCCCATCTCTGTGGGAAAATCCTGTAGTTTTGAGAGCAGACAGTAGTTGAAGAGAGAACTTACAGAATTGCAGGGTCAATGTTCAAGTCCTCCTACTGCATTATGGCTACTGCTGCTAGTAACCCAGTTCATGGACTGTTCTGACATCTGTTCTCTGAAGTCTGTCATTCTGTTATGTATGGTTCAGGTGCCTCCTAGAAAAGATTTAAAATTTGGAGATATTGAGTTGAATGAAGATTTATTAGGGGTGGGTGAGAGATAAAAAAGGAAGAAAAAACAGAGAAAGTAACGGTTTATAATGAATTTCTCAGATGAGTGATTTTTAGTTTAACCACTTTATTGGGTTAGTTCTTTAAAACATTCCATTTTTGGAACCTCAACACTTCCAGATTATTTTGGAAGAGAGTAGTCATTCTTTAAAGATTTTATTTCGAGAGGAGAAGGGAGGGAGAAAGAGAGGGAGAGAAACATCACTGTGTGGTCGCCTCTTGCACACGCCCTACTGGGGACCTAGTCTGTAGCCCAGGCATGTGCCCTGACTGGGAATCGAAGTGGAGAACCTTTGGTTCACAGGCCAGCACTCAGTTCCCTGAGCCACACCAGCCAGGGCGAATAGTCATACTTTAGTTGAAGAGAATGATAATCATTTTAGAGTCATTTGAACAAACACAGTTTTGATCATAAATTTGCAGTGGTCTAGCAAGAACTTTATTTGGGTGGAGAGGAGTTGGGGTGACTGTCCCCTTCTTTGGATTCTGAATGCAGTCCTTTGTCCTGTTCTTCTCACCCTTTGTTTCTTGAGAACATACATCATATTGTGTTCCACTGAGATTAGTGAAAGTCCTATAGCAGGGTGGCATGTTTAGTAACATGAGAAGAGGAAGCTGCAGCTACCCTCACAAGGATTGTCAGGCACAAGTGCACCTGTGCCGCTTTTGGCATCATGGAACAGAATGAAGTTAATGAGAACTATTGTACAATTAGTTTTCTGAATGTTGAACAAAACACACCTGAGTCCAGACTTTTTTTGAAGTGAGACTCATTGAGCATGTTGGACGTATTCATTTATTTAACTTGTGATACTTTCCTTTTACTTATGTTAGGAATACAATGAGGTATTTGTTTTTAGTCATCTTTGTCATCTTTTCTATCAAGTCACTCAATTTCATCTACTTCCTCTCTTTTTCTGAAAGTTGCAGAAATATAAATATATAAAACTATCAAATCATATCAAATTATAAAAATCAAAGCTGTTATTGTTGCTAGTTTGTTTTGAGGGCTAGCTCTGGGGAACAGAGCTGCCCATGAGAGTCTTTGTAATGCATCAATTAATGTATTGGTTTTTTTTGTAATGCATCAATTAATGTATTGGTTTTGATTTGTAATTTATAATTTGAAGAAAATAATTGTAGTTTTTCTTCCAGACGTGACTTTGGCCTCAGATGTCTGCCTTGGTTTTTCTTTTACCAACATCTTTTAGGTTTATATTTCAGATTTAACTTTTATTTCCAGAGTAAGAGGTTTTATACCCTAACTTTCTATCTATAAAGTTGGTGGTCAAGTTGGGAAAGTAAAAGAGTGACTACCTCCTTAAATGTAAAGCTCCTATTATTTTGGTGGAGGAAGATTTTGATGAACCATTATTATATATAAAATGGGTGGAATTCTTCCACAACAATAATCTGGACATGGGCTCCCCTGAGCCATAGATTATGCACATTATATAGTTTCAGGAATAGCCTAGCAAGTACACATAGTGACTTATGCCCTCAAGGTGAAGAAAGATTGTAAGAAACACTACTATTCCTCTAGCTCTTTCCTCAGTAGGTAGATGGTAGTAATAGCAATTTATTTTAAGATAAGGAGTGCAAATACAGGTTTTAGTCAAAAATTTTGTACTGGCTGTTGGGCATAAGCTGGGGTTGGGAAAATTCTAATATAAAATACATTTTTTTTTATTTTGGTATAATCAGGAAGGTGAACTTTAGGAGTAACGGGCTTCATTCATTTGATTCATTAAATATAAAAGTTTAGCGTTGGCTGATGTGGTTCAATTGGTTGGAACATTGTCCTGTAAATGAAAGGTTGTGGGTTTGATTCCTTGTCAGGGCATATCCCTGGGTTGTGGGTTTGGTCCCCAGTAGGGTTGTGTATGATCCCTGGTCCAAATGCATACACGAGGCAACTACTCAGTACTTCTCTTTTGCATTGATGTTTCTCTCTCTCCTTCCTTTCTCCCTTCCTCTCTCTCTCTCTAAAGAGAAATGAAAAAAAAAAAATGTTCTCTGGTGAGGATAAAAAGAAGAAAGGTTTAATTTTAGAATCTTTAAAAATCTTCAGTATGTTGTGCTTCCATTTCCTATGTAAGAATATCTAATGTGTTAAGATTTTAAATTACAGTCTCTAGAAGTACAAATTGGTAGTTACAGAATAGTTATGGGAAAGTAAGTAAAGCATAGGAAATATAGTCAATAATATTGTGATTAGTATGTATGGTGCCAGTTGGGCTACTGGAAATAATTGGGGGACCAGTATGTAAAGTATATTTTTATCTGACCATTAAACTGTTCACCTGAAACCAATACAATAAAATTGAAAGAAAAAAATAAAATAAAATTACAGTCCCCAAATAAGATTTTTATTATAGGCCCGACCTTATGAATTTTTAAAAGTTCTGTCTGAACAATTTAATCAAATTAATACATGCCCTTGATATTTACAAAGGTACTATTTAGATTTTTGTAAATTTATAGTATTTTTTGCTTCTCTAACTTTTGGGTAAAAAATTGCCACAAAACTTTCTTTTTGGGTAAGCAACTGCCTTGTTTTTCATAAGAAAAGAACATATTTAACTTGAAATGTAACACTAATTTTTATATTAGATATATTTATTTTTAAATAGGATTGTGAACAAATCCGTTTTTTTCTTCCAATCTAACCCTGATCCTAAACCTAACCCTAATCATAAACCTAACCTTAGCTTTCAAACCTTCAACTTAACTCTAACAGTAATCCTAACATCAACATTCACTGAATCCTATGTCTACCCCTAACTCAAACCCTAATCTAACCTCTCACCTTAACACTAAACCTAACCATGTCTCTCACTCTAACCTTAATCCTACCTAATTCCAAATTGTAACCTAACCTCTAACACTAAACCTAATCTTAACAAAACCTAACCTAAATCTTAACTCTAATGCCAACTTTTTAACCTTAACCATACCTCTAACCCTAATCCTAACTTTATCCTTAAGCCTACTGCTAACACTTAACCTAAAACTAACCGTTACCTTAAACCTGCCTGTAACCTTAATTCTAATTCTAATTCTAAACCTAAACATAACTTTAAAACTAACCTGTATCTGCTCAAAATAGACAAAATAAACTTTAAATAAAAAAAATTCAAAGATTTTGTTTATTTATTTTCAGAGAGAGGGGAAGGGAGGGAGAAAGGGAGGGAGAGAAACATCAATGTGTGGTTGCCTCTTGTGCGCCACCTACTGGAGACCTGACCTGCAACCCAGGCATGTGCCTTGACTGGGAGTCTAACTGGCATCCATTTGGTTAGAAGGCCAGTGCTCAATCCACTGAGCCACAGCAGCCAGGGCCAAAAGAGTTTTTTTAATGGGTATAGAGTTTCAGTTTTCGTAAGATGAATAGAGTTGTGGATATGGATGATGATGATGGTTGCACAACAAAATGAAGTACTTAATATCACTGAATATAGTCTAGATGGCAATTTTTATGCTACATCTTTTACCGTAATAAAAAAATGTTTTTTTAAAGCTGACCCTAATCTTAACATGAAACCCAATCTTAAACCTAACTGTAACATTTAAATCCTAAATTCAACCATAAACTTGAACATAACCATAACCCTAGCACTAACTATATACCTATCACTAATCTAACCCAATCCCTAGCCTTACTTCTAACCCCAACCTACACCTAAAATTAATTGTAACACTAGTTCTAATCCTAACCCAAAACCTATCCTAACTTTTAACACTAACCCTAAACTTAAACCTATACCTAACCTCAATTCTAACTTTGACCCTAATCCTATACTAACTCTAACTTTTGTGCTAACACTAACCTATAATCATAACATTAACTCTACACCTAAGCATATACCTTACCCTAACCCCAATCTAACCATAACCTTATAGTAACCCTAACCCAATGTTTCCCTGTATCCTATTCCCAACCCAAAGCGTAATCTGAACTTTAACACTAACTGTAACCTTAAACCTATTTCTAAACCTAATCCCAACTTTAGTCCTAACCCCAACACAACCCTAACCTAACCTCTAACATTAACCCTAACCTTAAATTTATACCTAACCTCAATCCTAACTTAAACTGTAACACTAACACTAATACTAAATCTAATAATTTACCCTAATCTACCTGGTAATCACAAATTTAACCCTAAAATTAACTCTAACTCTTTAACTTTAACACTAATATTAACCTCAATCCCAATCCTATATAACCCTAACCCGAACTCTTATCCTAATCTATAATCGTAATTATAACCCAAACCATAATCCTAATCTCAAAACTAAAACTAACCTTCCTCTTAAATGATCTAATTTTAACCCTTATTCTAAATCTAAATTTAATTGTTATTCCAGCAGTAACTCTGTTCTTAATGTGAACTCTAAACTGAACCTTAAAACTAACCCTAATACCATACCTAACCCTAACTGTAACCCTAATCCTAAAACTCAACCTAACATTAATTGTAACTTTAACTTAATGCATAACCATAATCCTAACCTCTAATCTTAACCCTAACTTTAAATTTAACCCTAATTATAGCCCTTACCCTAACTCTAAACTTAACTGTATGTATTAACCTTAACCTTAACTCTTACCCTAATCCTCTTACCCTAACACTAACTCTAATCTATTCTTAACAAAAACCAAAGCAACCTAACCACTAACCCTAACCCCAATTCTTAACCTAAACTAACTTTAACCTTAACCCTAATCCTAATCCCTAACCATAATTTAACCTCTAACGTGCATATTAGCCCTAACCCTATAGCTATTCTCTACCCTAAATCCATGTTTTACTTTTTTTTAATTACTCAGACTTAGTTCTGATGAAGAAGTTAGTATTTATAATGTTGTTAAATATAACCTCCTCTTTTCACATGTGTTCAAGAAAATGTATGTTTATCTATAGCCATTTGGTACGATTACCCATATTTTGAAGTATTGAGTATGTTTTTAGTAACATAGTATGGTTATCTATGATCTCATTTTAAATTAATATACCTTGGAGGAAATAAAATGTGTAATGTCCCCATATTGCCGATGAAAATTAAGTTATTATTGTGCTTGACATCTTATGTTCAAATTTTTCTGAAACTTTTTTGTAAGAGTGTATTTAAGCCATACTGACATCATGTGCTGGGGAGCAAGCTCTCAAATGCTCCAGAGGATAACAGTTTTGCAGCTTCTTTTATGCACTTGGAATTAAGGAGGGAACTAAGGAAGATTACATGGAGGTGGGAGAAAAGCAAGGTGGGATTGGATTACAGGATAGTTGACAAGATTATGTCTTCTCTTGAGGGTGGATGTGGCCTATTTCAAATGCATGTTAACCCAGAGATGCACAGAGACAAGGGACAGGGCTTGCTTAAGGCAAAGGGACACCTTTCACTAAAGACGTTGTATGCCTAGGGTATGACTACCCACCATGATCTGGGCAGTTAGGAATTTATGATCATAACATCCTGTGTAGTTACTTTCTGTAGACCCCTTTTTTTTTGGTTCACAGTTCCCCATTTTGTTCATAAATCAGTCAGAAGCATGCACTGATGAGCAATTTTTTAATTGGATAGTGTGATCTCACAGCACTAGGAAGGCTCATTCCTAGGAAGTCTCAGTATGCACGTTGTTTATTTGACTATTGGGAATGGGGCAATACTGTAACTGTGGCAAATGAGTGTGGGCTGAGCAATCTCACACAGGCACATTGGAATTAATAGTTCACATCTTTTTCTTACTCCATGTTTGGTGATGTCATATTGGTAAGCTCATATTGGCCATGGTGGGAGTGGTTACCATGGAAATGGGCAAAAGCTCCAAGTCAAGGTTTCCCCAACTTCCCCAGAAAACTGGTTGTTAAATATTTACGAGCATACCACTCTATTTGTCATATTGTATGAAAGGTAGTAAAAAATATATTGACTAGTGCACATTGTATTGCCTTTAGGCTTTATGTTAAGAGAAAACATATTTCTGATGTGCTAAACAAACTTTTGGAGGTAAATTGGTAGTATGACTAACTTAGCCATTACTGTCAGTCACCTTCAGACAAGTTAAAAAATGTATATACTAAACAAATATTTACTTATTTTTTCTCATTTGTATAAATAGTACCTGAACTTTAGAAGTTAGGATAGTTCTGTCTCTCAATTTTACATTTAAAATTGGGACATTAACAGTATCAACTAAAAAATGAAGTTAATTCAAGTATAGTATTTGGTATAGTGAGTCTTCAGTCATTTTTGCTTTGTGAAAAAATCATTATCAGTAAGGTGGATGTTTGGGAGAATACGAACATTTTCCTTAATCTGAATCTTCATGGTTCTTTCACATATTTGTCATAGGAATGCTGACAGATTCTTCACATGTATTCTGCTGGAATATGCAAGCTAAATAACTACTTGGAATATTTTCAAGCTAATATTTTACTTTATTTTCAGGTGATTCCTCCTAAGGAGTGGAAGCCAAGGCAGTGCTATGATGACATTGATAATTTGCTAATCCCAGCACCGATTCAGCAGATGGTCACAGGGCAGTCAGGACTGTTCACTCAATACAACATCCAGAAAAAAGCCATGACAGTGAAGGAGTTCAGGCAGCTGGCCAACAGTGGCAAGTGAGTGAATTTGGTTTGCTATTTTTATTTCTTTCAAAGGTACACTTGGATATGGTCAGAAACCAAGTAGACAAAGTAACTGGTAGTGAAAATGAAAATAAGTTTCCTGCACAATCTCTTTTACTCCTAATTTAACTGTTTCTGTTCTTCAGGTAGTTGCCCACTTAGATTTAGTTTACTGCTAAGAAAGTGTTCCTTGTTTTACCATCTCATTAATGATATCTCTAAATAGGTTTTTCTATAGTTGCCATGAGTTTTTGATTATACTCATGATTCATCTTTGTAAGGCAAATTTTCTTTGTGTGACATTGTTTAAGTCTTAAATGATAAACTATACATACTAGAAGATGAGTGATTTAAAAAGAAAATCCTTGCCCCTGGCTGGTGTGGCTCAGTAGATTGAGCACCGGCCTATGAACCAAAGGGTCCCTGGTTCGATTCCCCGTCAGGGCACACGCCTGGGTTGCAGGCCAGTTCCCCAGTAGGGGTTGCGCAAGAGGCAACCACACATTGATGTTCCTCTCCCTCTCTATTTCCCTCCCTTCCCCTCTGTCTAAAAACAAATAAAATCTTAAAAAAAAAAAAAGAAAATCCTCGAATGACTTGAAGGGCTACTATTATTGCATTAGTTGCCAACTGTGGGTTGAAAATACCTTAAAAAATGTTATGTTGTTGCTGACATGTACTGTATAATTAGGCACAAGATGGTTGTGGCTATACTGAACACGTACAGATTTTTTTTCTTAAACAATGTAGTATAATTGCTATTTACATAGCATTTATATTTTAGGTATTATAAGTAATCTAAAGATGATTTAAAGTGTATGGGATGATATGAGTAGGTTATATGCAAATACTATCCATTTATATAAGAGACTTGAGTGTTTGTAGATTTTGATATCCATGGTGGGGGTTCTAGAACCAGTCCCCCATGGATATCCACTTAGGGACAATGTCTAGTATAATTGGTAGAAGATTTAAAAATATACTTTGAAAGCTAAAAAAATGAATTTTTAAGTACTTTTCTGTTTCTATTATTGATACTTTCAAGAAAGTATTTTCCTTACTAGTTAAAAGTAGGAAGTTTTCATAGTGTTATTTAGGAATCTGAAGAGTGTTCAGATATGTATGATAAACACATATGTATATTTGCTTGTTAAATTTGACATCAAAATTGTGGCAGTGTTTTCATTTTAATAGAATTTTCTTTAGAAGTGATTTAAATCAAATGGGTGGAGAAAAATCTTAAAATTGTCTTAACTATTTTGCACTTACTATTTTCATCCACCTTTTCCAGATATTGTACTCCAAGATACTTGGATTATGAAGATTTGGAGCGCAAGTACTGGAAGAACTTAACTTTTGTGGCACCCATCTATGGAGCAGACATTAATGGGAGCATATATGATGAGGTATATTTATATTTATAATAGGCTTTGTAAAGGATCATTTTATGTTACTACTGTGACCATTTTAGGTAGTTGAGAAGTAGTCATTTGTTGTGCTTTGTGTGATTCATAATTTCTCGTGGGACAAGAAGAAGAAAAGACACATCAATGGAATTTCTGCAGCTGGTATTTTTGAATTGAAATGAGCTAGTTGAACACATACCTGATTATTCAACAGTAATATATAGAGTAGTATGTAGTATAGTATAATAATACTAATAGTATTAGTATAATAGTACTAATTTATAGTATGTAACTATCTGACTATTCCTTAAATTACATTAAATTTTTTAAAAAACAAAGCTCATGGTGAATGTATTTGGAAAACAAGAAATACCCAGAATACCACGTTAAGGCAAAAGCAGTATTTTAAAATATATTCCTATAGTTTTCCCTTAATAATTTAAAAAAGATATATTTGAACAGACTTATCCTCTTTTCTTCCATGAACTGTGAGAATTTTTTTAAAAAGTACATATTAGTACAATCTTTCTGGTTTCAGGAGGGCATAACCTACTAGATATAGTCCAGTCCTTTTTGCCTTTTGGTAATTCTTATTTTTAATTTTTTTCCCTTTTTTCAAACCTTTTATCCCTCTCCCATTGCTCTATTTTGAAAAATTAGCAAAAGGTTGAAGTAGTTCAATGAACATCTGAATACCCTTTACCTAGATTCACCAGTTGTATTTGGCAAATTTGCTTTATGTTTTGTTGCTCTGTCTCTGTCTCTGAGCTGTAACATTTGAAAATAAGTTGCAGACATCATGACAGTTCACTTTTAATTATTTCAACATGTGTCTGCTAATTACAAGGCAATTTGACATTTATATGATGTCATCTAATATACAGACCATATTCATAGATCCTTAATTGTCTCAATAATGTTATTTATAAACGTTTTTTCCCCATTTGAAGGATCCAGTCAAGGACATCTCCTTATAATCAATAGTGATCTATAGGGTGTTACTTAGAGAATAGATGAGTATCTTTTTCCCCAACAGCCTTTCACCCAATGAATTTGCATTCATTGACACTCCTTGCCTGAGTCAATTATGTATTTTTATACCATTTATATTTTGAAAAACAGAACAAGCTGGAAAGTGCATAAAACATAAAGTTAGATCTTCATGAATTATTGTAAGGTGAATGCCATGAGTCATCACTGACATCAGGAAAAACATTACCAGCATGCTAGAGTACCCCAGTACACCTTCTTTACCTAGTATAATACTCTCCCCTTTTTCTCTAAGGATAATCACTATTCAGACTTCAAGGTAATCATTCTTTTCTTTTCTTTAAAAATGAAGCTAATTGTATCTTGTTTCAAAACTATATGACTAGAAGGATCGTTCAGTATATTCTTATCTGTCTGCCTTCTGTCACACCTTATCATATTTCTAAACTTTTTCTGTATCATGTGTACCTGTAGTTCATTTATTTTCATTGCTGTATATTCTGTTATATGAATGCACCACAGTTTATTATTTTTCTACTACTAATGATCATTTTGGTCCTCTCTAGTTTTGGCTTTGTGCTCAAAACTTCTGTGAATGCTTTATGCTTCCCAGAGTATGGAACGGTTTCTATAGTGTGCATGCCTAGGAGTGGTTATAAGATATTCATGTGTTTAGCTTTAAATAAAACTATTTTCTAGTTCACACCTTCCTATAGCAATGTCTGTGAGTTCCCATTGCTCCACATTCTCTCTGATGCTATTATCATCAGTCTTTTAATTTCAGCTACTCTGTTGGATATATGTAGTAGTATCTTCTACCTGTTCAACCTCTTGTACATTTTTCTTTTGTGTCATGCTTTTCTTACTGATTTATAGGTTTTTATACATTCTGGATATGAGGTAGTGTCACATTTTCAAATTTTCTGTATGGATTTTGTGTTGTTGAATGCTATTAATGAAAGGACTATTCTTTTTTTTTTTCATATGGACTGGGTATTAGATGATACTGTGGATTTATTGTTGTCACTTTGAGATGTAATGATGGCATGGTGGCTATATAAATGTTTTTTCTTATCAACTGAAGATGCACACTTGAAAAATATACTGGTGAAACAACATGGAGTCTTGGATTTATTTATAAGATACCTCAGAAAACAAAGTGGAATCGGTATGGTTGAATGAAGTCAGGCAAAGTGTTGGTAATTGAGGCTCAGTAAATATGTATATGTTTGAAATATTAAAAATAAAAGTTAAAAAAGAGGAAACATCCTTTCTTCATTCTCCTGATTTTTCACTAGTGTAAGTAACTTCTGTATTGAGAACTTTTTGTTTCTCAATAAGGGTAGTACACACTCAGGTAGAAAAATGGAAAATAGGGAAAAATATGAAGAAAAAGTATTACTCATAAGCATAATAAACAGAAGTAGCCTTTTTATGATTTCCCTTTGGCCTTTTAGTTTATGTGAGTGTGTGTGTATTTGTGTATGTATTTCCCCACCAAAGATCTGAGAAATTTTTAATACTATTTTGGCTTTAGAAACATTTTCAGTATTGCTTTCCAGAGGATCATTTCAGTGTGTTCCAGTCATTTCTGTACTGCCAATTTGAAATTGTACTTTTATTAAATTGTTGCTATTTTTGATATTTTAGTTCCAAGTGTATTACTGATTCATTCTTTAGTAATAACAACTGTCTTTTAAGTTTGACATGTTATGGTTACTTTTTTGGTAAGATGAGTGCTATTACCACTAAGGCTTTCTTACAGAACATGGTACCTTGTCTTATTAAACCAGGTTTTGTGGGATTTCCATTGGAATGGGTGAGGGCATGTAAATAGTGTTGATATTTTACACTTGAGGCCCAGAGCAGTTAAATTGCTTTTACAAATTTTTGAGGCCAGTAGAGAGGGTGTCAGGTGCTCTTTTCCCCCACACCAGTTTTAAGGAAGCAATTACTTATGGTCAATCTCATAGTTGTGTAAACGTGTAAAACTAGGTCGATGTCAACTACAAATTTCTCCTGAGCTGATGGTTCATTTTGGGCCTTCTCTGCAGTTTCTTCTCTGTGATATTCTGGCATGTTTTCAGGCTTCTGAAAGGAAAAGTGAGCTTGAGGAATCATCTGGATACTGGGCTGATAGGTTGTATGTCTAAGTGGTCTAAAATAAAATAAAACTTAGTCTAAGTTATTTTTTTTAACCACCCCTTTGGATCATTAAGTTCTTTGTTCCTTTTTACATATATGATTAAGAGTTAGAAGCAGGCTTTTTGGGACAATTTTAAGAACAATTTATATAAAAAGCCCCGAACTAGCTTTCCATAGTTGGTAGTAAAATAACAATTGTTTCCTGCACAGATGAGGCTGATAGACTTTGGTTTACTATGCTTATCAATTTACTGCTTGTGTTTGTAAACCAGTTACACATTGGCATTGCTTCAAGCCAACATTGACTTTAGGCTTCAGATTTAAGTAACTTAAATTATTAAACCCAATAAACAAAATCCACTAGTTTGTAAACATACAGTTTTAAACCTTCCTCATTATGTATAGATTTGGGAGGCAGGAATCTGTCATTTTGGTAGGACCGACAAGACATAGTATGTTATGGATTTTTTGTAGGCTCTGTGGGAGCATTTAGTAGCTTCAGAGCAGAGCTGACATTTTCGATGCTTTTGAGGCATAAAGAATGACATGAGAGAGATGTTGTAAACTGCTACTGGTAAACAAAAGTAATCACACTCAAGACACCTAAATTCAAACAAATGAAAAATAACTTGTATTTGTCCCCTTGAGGTGGATAGAGAATAATAAGAAAGAGAGTACATTAAAGAGAGTGATGAAGAGGGAGTGTAAGGATAACCTGTAACTGTCAGGAACATCTGAAATCATTGCTATGAATGATCATTGAAAAAGCCCATGTATCATTTTGCTCACTACTATAGTATCTTTGTATTGTTGAACTGTTCAGCTCAATATTTAAATTGTATTGGGAACTGGCTTGTTATGGTTCATGGCATTATTTTAAAAGGGATTATAGTCATCAATTTCTAGTTCACTTTCCCCTAGTTTCTAGTTATGAGTGTTTTCTTTAATCTTAAAAGAATGATTGAAAATAAATCATAGTTTGTGTGTGTATGTGTAGATGGGAGTTTTTTGAGAAGATGAGGGGATGTAAGTGAAACAGTTTGTGTAGGGTGCAAAGATGAAAGAGGGTCCTCATTCTTAAATAATTCCCCGAGGGGCAGTGGGGCAAAGAGTTATAAGGAACTGGGCCATAAAGGCAAATGTGGGGTTCCATGGAACCTGGAGGAGAGGCACTTAGAGCAATCTTGGCATTGAAGGAAAGACATTCTTGTGGGAAGGGGGCATCTGACTTGGGGCTAGAGGAATAAGTTCAAGTCAAGTAAAGGAGGAAGAGAGGAGGGTGAGATAGGAACTAGCTAAATTTGAGGGTAAGACCAAGTTCAATAAACATACTTGAATTTGGAAGCTTTATACTGTACATGGGCTTGAGGAGAGTGAGGCAGACCTGGAATAGTGGCTGTGGCATCTGAGGGCCAGGGACCAATTCAAGATTGGAGACATTTATATGTAAATGTACTCATTTACATATATGGAGGTCTGTTCAGGAGACAGGGCTATGGATGGGCCTGGTCCTCTGGACCCATACATAGTGCTGTAGCAGCCTCTCCTTTCTCTTGCAGCATCAGGTAGGTAGGTGCCATTGTAATGTTGACCAGCACAGGAATTGGGGGTGAGGGCATTCATGAGAACAGTCAGTCTTGATAGTAAGGGAAGAAGGGCCTGGAGATCCCAGGGCATAGTGTGGACTCTTTATTCATTCTGTTGCTTCTTTCAGAGTTGAATTCCTGAGGATGTACTGAAAATTCTGTCAACGCCTATGTTGCAATAACACTAATACATTTTAAGCAAATTACTGTTCTTTATTTTTTATTATTTTTTTTAAGATTCTATTTATTTTTATAGACAGAGGGGAAGGAAGGGAGAAA